TCTATGCACATGCATCAAGAGGCTGTAAAAGGATGTCACATGACTTCCTCTGTTGCTCTCCACCTAATTGCCTTGAGACAGGGTCTCGTATTGGACTGGAAGCTTGCCTTTTCTAGTAGGCTGGTACCATTGCGCTCCCGGGACCCACCTGTCTTTATCCCCAGTGCGGGGATTATAGACTCACACAACCATGCTTATATTCTTACATGGGTCCTGGGGATTTGAACTCAAGTCTGTGTGCTTGCATCAGATTTCTTGGAGCTGGAGTTACAGGTGGCTGTGAGCCATCTGATGTGGGTGCTGGGAACTAAATGTGTTTCCTTCGGGAAGAGCAGCAAGTGCTCCTAATCACTGAGCCATCTCTCCAGTCCCTGTATGTAATGTGTTTTGATCCAATCCACCCGTTACCTCCTCTCCTTCTCTATCCCTCATCATTCTTCCCTGCCCACTTCGTGTGCTCTCTCTCTCCCTCCCCCTCCCTCTCTCCCTTTAACCCACTAAGTCCACCTAGTGCTGTTTTTATATACAGATGTGGGACCAGCTACAAGGCTGTGGGTAGCCTTCAAGGACCACACCCCTGAAGAACCTCTGTGGTTCTCACAGGTTCCGCGGAAATGCACTCAGCCCTAGGGGCTGGCTCAAATGTTACCACCCTCCAACAGAATTAGTGTCTCCCTGGTGACAGGGTAGCCACCTGTTTCCTGCTGGCCTGGATTCCTCTGGTGAGGGGACCTGGTAGTGTGAGTCACTGCGCTGCCAGGGACAGGCCAGGCCCTGGCTTAGGATGAGGGTGAACGTTCCCACGGTGGGCGTGCGTCCAGACCCTACGGCTTCCTCCCCCTCCTGGCAGATGGGAACCTCCGAGTGGAACTAGCTGAAGTCCCCGTCCCACTGCCACGTCTCCCTTCTGTTGTCTCCGGTGCAGTCTCGGTGTTCTGCAGTCTGTGCTCACCGACTGCTAGGGCTTTCTACCTAGTGACATTTTGCTTTTGGTGGTGGTAGAGGGGAAAGCATGTCCTCCGCCGCCCGAGTTACCCCAGTCCTCCCTGTAAATATTGACTTAACAAAGGTAGGCTTTTCCTCCTCCCTTCCCTCTTCCTCCCTCTCTCCAGGGTTTCTTGTAGCTTAGGCTGCCTTGAACTCTTAATCCTCCTGTTTCCACCTCCTAAGTACTAAGATTACAGGTACCGAAGGGAGCAGAAGACCGGCTTAAGAGAGGCTGGTGGCCATGCCCTTTAACCCAGCCATTGCTGCCTCGCCCTGACTCTTATTCACAGGGAGATTTACCCAGAGGAGAAGGCCCAGCCTGAGAACTTTGACTCGTCATCACCTTCAGCCAGGGCTAACTTTAGATGCCGGGAGGATGCAGCAGAAACTCAAGACTATTAAACATTCCCCTGCACTCAAAAAACTTTCCATTAATAGCAGTCCTGACTAATGTTCACTGATTCCTTAATGTGTGCTAAGCATGTTTGAGTGCTTTTTCTGGATTAGGAAGTGGGTGCATTTATTGTATTTTACATATGGATGCTGAGACACAGAGAAGCAGACTTAAGCGGCCTACAGTGGCTCACTTAGCAAGCTGTCCAGTGAGGATATGAGCCCCATGCCCTTAACCCATGACGTTGTCCTGCCAGGGTTATGTTGTTTGCTTCAGACTCCTGCAAACATAACCTGACACTCCACCCTCTGCTAACCACTCACCCCATACCCGGCTCTTAACTCCCCAACAGGATACGGTGGGCATGAACCATACGGAACTCACTGGCAGCCCTATGGCGGCATATCCCAAAACATGAGAAAGCCCTCCATCTTATTCAGAGACTGCTGCTCGCCCACCTTTCAGAGCGCCACAGTGATGGATGGTGTCAGGTGGTAAAGCTTACCTCCTCAGAGGTGTGAAGGGTCAGGGCCCAGTGAGGCACAGGCATCCAGGACCATAGCGTGTCCAAGCAGGACTCACAGAACTCTCGCGTCATGTGCTGGCTTTTCGATAAATCCACATCCGCATGCTCCCCTGGGATGCTGTAGCTTTGGAGCCTATGGAGATGCTTACTCCTCAGGACACACACAAAAAAACCCATTCCATTCCTTCTTCTCCTTCTCAGGGTTCAATTTGTGCTGGGGTTGCCAGGGGGAGACATCTTAAAGGAGAGTTACCTTCCCCGTGGGAGGTGGGCCCCGGGACTGTCTATTCATTGCACACCCTCAGACACTGTGAAGCCGGAGGGCCTTAGCCCTCCCTCATGGCAGGGAGTCAGTCAGTGCAACAGAAGCCTCCCCACGAGTGACTGCCCCTTTCTTGATTCTGTTGTGTAGGTGTGTGTCTTTGGGAGGGGGAGGGGGGCTGAAATGATCAGACCTACCCTCCCACCCCACCCCCGCCCCCACCCCCGAGACAGGAATTCTCTGTGTAACAGCCCAAGCTGTCCTGGAACTCACCCTGTAGACCAGGCTGGCCTCGAACTCACAGAGCTCCACCTGCCTCTGCCTCCCAGGTGCTGGGATTAAAAGCGTGCGCCACCACCGCCTGTACTGAGAACGTCTTAATTAGGGTTCGTGCTGGTGTGATAAAGTACTACGACCCAAAGCAACTCAGGGAGGAAAGGGTTTATGTCATCTTACAACCCTTATGTCACACTCAGCATTGAGGAAAAGTCAGGGCAGAAACCACAAGGAAACTTACTGGCTTGTTCAGTTTGCTTTCTTATACACTCCAGGACAATCTGCCTGGGCATGGCACTGCCACAGTGGGCTGGACACTTCCATGTCAATCATCAATCATTAAAAAAAAAAAAAAAAAGCCCAACCAGCTTTGCTGGAAGCCAACCTGGTGTAAGGGGGCATTCTTTAGTTGGGACTTCCTGTTCCATATGTCTAGGTTTGTGTCAAACTGACAAAAACAATTGACATGGAGGAGACCACACCCTTCTCCTGGGTCACCTCTCTAGGCAAAGGTCCCATGAGCTACCAGCAATTGGGGGGGGGGGGGCTCATGTTCTCTGACCGGGCCGTGCTCTGTGGCTGAGTTCCTAAAGCAGAGCCCCAAAGTGATTTCTTAACCTGTGACACCATCGCTCCAGAACCATCCCTGTGAATTAAGCATCGCTGAGAATCTGCCCTTACCCAGGGCGAGGGGACAGAGTCTAGAAGTATTGCATGCTATGCCAGCATCAACATATGGCTTATGCACTGGAACTTTGAGTATCTCTGCTTAGGACATGTACTTTAGAGTTCAAATCCCGGCTCAGCCACAGAGTAGTTGTGTGGTCTGAGTTGATTCGTAACCTCTGTGGGACTTGGTTTCCACATCTATATGAAATAGGTACTTCCCAAATTTTTGGCCTTGCTGGTATGTAGCTAATCCTCACAGAAAAACTAATTTCTCCCCATCCCATATACCCATACATACAGACACACAGAAGAACACACACAGACACACAAAGACATAGGTACACAAAGACACACACACACACACACACACACACACACACACACCCTTGCTTGCCTGAAGTGCATGCCTTAGCCTGATAAAGAGAGAAAACAGACATAAATACTTTTTTTTTTCCCCCTGGGGGGAACAGCTGTGAGCCAGTTAACAGCACTCATTACTCACCCACTGGCAAACACTGAGCTGCTCCAAAACAATTCTGAATTTCCATTTCCTCTGGGATAGATTCAGGGGAGTGTTTGAAGGTGACCAGGTCCTTTCCCATCCTCAGGTGGGAGCCAGCTCAGGTTAGGGGTCAGGAATTGTGAATAAAATACAATGTAACTCTGGCTTTGTTGATGTCCCCAGCTGTAATCTGTCTGTCCACCAGCTCCCAGCCAGATCTCCTCTACTTCCCATTCCCAAGCCCCCCATGGGCTCCAGGCCCAGTGCTGGGAGACCTCTCGGGCAAACCCTTAGCCTGTCAAGGTCCTTGGAACCTTCCAAGGATTCTGGAGTCTCCATTGCTGTCCCTCTAGACTCTTGCAGCCCAGCCAACCCAAAGGAATGGCAGAGCTTGTGAAAGCCTCAGCGTTCATAATGGGCCACTCCCCTCCGGAAATGTTCCCCCAATCTGCTGAGAGCCTGCCAGGAGACTTGGCTGCTCTTGGCACACACAATAGACTGGGGTCAGAACAATGTCGAGGAGAGAAAACATCCGCCTGTCGCCTGTCCACCGGCTGCTGTCCGTCCGTCCTCCTGGGACACCCACTGCCCCATGGCCAACTTCGGGCTCCTGGAGGAGGGTGGGGTGCACTTCGGGGGGCTAGAGGCCAGCTGTGGCAGTGAACAGGGGAGGCACAGCTAAACTTCCCCAGCTTGACAGGCAGCGCTCTCAACAGATGTGCGGGGCAGATTAGAAGTCAAATCCGATCACTCTGGCTCCCCTGGCAGCCTTGGGAACCCCCCCCCCTCACAGCCCCAACCAACACTGGACAGATTAAAACCTAAGCCGGCACACAACAGTCCTAAGTATAAGACTGAGGAAAACCGGGTGTGCAGGTGGAGGTTCCGTGGGCTTGCTTAATTCACCATGTACAGGGAGCTAGGGCTCCAGATGCTTCCACAGTCATTGAAAGGGATCATCCCACCCTTGGGAAGTTTCTGAAGCAAAACTGGGCTGCTGTGCACCAAATGCCTCAGTGCTTACAAAGGAGTTGCTTGGCCCTCAGATAGCGCTACCCCAACGGAAGGGCTCAGGGGAAGGGCTCACCTGAGGAAGATCACAGCCAAGTAAAAGGCATGCCCCTCCTCAGCCCAGGCAGATCAGTTCAAGAGAGAAACAACCCTGGGGGCCGGGCAGCAGACCACACTAGACAGAGAATCTCAAGATACTGTGGACTCAAGGGCCCTCCTAGAAGAGCTATTTCGCCCCTCAGTTCTGTGCTGTCTAAATTGCGTGTCCACCATTGTTGGAGGACGTAAACCAAGGAGGGCTTCCTGGAGGAGGGGGTATTTGAGACTTGCTTGAGAGAAAGAGAAGGGGACACAGCTCATGAAACACTGAAACGCTCACTTTGGGGAGGACATACAGTGAAAATGGAAAGGGACAGAGAAGGTTAGCATGGCCCCCATGCGAGCGAGGATGACAGGCAAACTCGCCAAGTGTTCTGCATTTTCCTCTCTCTCTCTCTCTCTCTCTCTCTCTCTTGGTCTGTGTACATTTATGTAGAAGTAAGCGTAAGCAGATGTCATGAAACTAAAAGGGGCCCATGAAGGGTTGGAGGGGGGAGGTTTTGAGGTGGGGGGGTAAGTAATAGAGGATGTGTGGTGCAAGCTGGGAGGTGGGGGGCAGGAAGTGGAGGGAACATATAAAACAAACTATGTGTGAAAATGCCTGAGGGCGGGGGCAGAGCGGTGGCTCAGCAGTTCGGAGCACCGGCTGCTCTTCCAGAAGAGGCAGGTTTGATTTCTAACACCACCTGGCCCCTCACAACTGATCTGACTCCAGTTGTAGGGAACCTGATGCCCTCTTCTGGCCACTGTAGGAACTGCATGTACATTCGCAGACATCCAGGCAGGTAAGACATCCAGACACATGAAACAAACATAACTTTAAAAAGAAAGTTCTGTAGGGGCTTGAGAGGTGGCCCAGTCAGTAAGATGCTTACGGCATAAGCATGAAGATCTGAGTTGGAAAATCCAGAACTCTGGTAAAAAAAGGAAAAAAAACCAAAAAACCAGTATCAGCACTTGGCACTGGGCAAGCTGGGTAAGGGACACAACCACAGGCAGAATCTAATTCCTAGTTTATTGGTCAGCCAGTGTAGCCTATCATAGAGTTCCTCATCTAGTGAGAGACCCTGCTTCAAAACCCAAGGTGAGAACAATTGAGTCAAAGGCAATGTTGATGTCTGATGAACACATGCGTAGCATATACCCAAATACATACATACACCCCCCCACACACAAAGAATATATAAGGAAATCTATTACTTTGCACGCTAATTAAAAATTAAATGCATTAAAGTGAGGTCGGCAATGTAGCTCAGGGGTAGAACGCTTGCCTAATGTGCAAGGCCCTGGGCTCATCCCCAGTATAAGGAGAGGCTGGCATGCTATTCAAGACAGGGAGGGCATTCTGCAGGCATCCTGAGCCCAGGTTATTTGTTAGTGTAGAGCACATGCCCAGCATTTATAGGCTTTGGGTTCCATCCCCAGCACTTCCTGGACAATCAGGCATGCAGGACCCATTTTCATGATAGGATCGGAAGCATCGAGTTCCCATACGCAAGGGGCCTGACCTTTGCTCATTGAGTAGCAACCTGGGTGGCATGCAGGCTAGGGGTGCAAAGGCTTGAGGAAGGTGGCCCCTTCCGGGCAAGTGAGCCATCAATTAGCAAGACTGCAGAGCATGCAAAAGAGCAGGACAAGGGCACCTTGCTGAGGAGTGGACACAGCCCTTACTGATGCTAACGGGCCAGCCAGCAGCATGCGCTGAAGTGGCCCAAGCCTGTGACTAGGAACACTCATGGGCATCACGCTGAAATCCAGCTGAGCTCAAGCGATTGGGGCCCCAGCGTGCTGCTCTGGGAGCGGGTCTGGGAGGGCAGTGGGTTCCTGTGGGGCCCCAGCGTGCTGCTCTGGAAGTGGGGCCTGGCTGGCAGGTGGGTTCCAGCAGGTTCCCAGTACAGCAGCTGCTTCCTGTTTATGGTAATGTTTAGACGTCCAGGCACCTTCGAGCCTGGAGGTGAAGTCCCATTCAGTTTAGGAGACTGGAAACATCTGTCCGCACCCTCAGCAACAGTGGCTCCCTCTGTTTATCTCTGCTCAAATCTGTGAAACGCAGACACAGAACTCACTGGCAGCCATGCTCGTCCTTTCTGAAATAGCTGCTTTCTCCTGATCGGATACAAGGAAAGATCCCCGTTCTTATATTTTAACTTGCAGTGTTTTACAGAGCACTTTGAGCTGAGTGGTTTTCTCTTTCAGATAGAAGCTCACTGTGTTGCCCAAGCTAGTCCCTGGGTTAGCTCCTGGGTTCAAGTGATCCACCCATCTCAACTTTTCAAGACTCAACATCCCCTACCCCTCTTTCATACCGGGTTTCTCTGTGTAGCCCTGGCTGTCCTAGATCTCCCTTTGTAGACCAGGCTGGCCTCGAACTCACATAGATCCTCCTGCTCTTCTTATTCAGTGTTGGGATAAAGGCATGTGCCCCCATACTGGTCTCTAGAAAGATTTCTACCATTCTTGTTTTAATAAAAATGATTTTGAGCAAGTGTGGGGGCACACACCCTTAATCTCAGCACTGAGGAGGCAGAGGCAGGCGGCTGTTTGTGAGCTCCATAATTCTAGCATTTAGCATCTGTTGCTGGCAGATCCAGACTGGCTGGGACTCTGGCCAGTGGATTCAAGGGATCCAAGTGGGGAATGTGCACAATGGCAGATGACTGAAGGTAGTCACTTCAGGATGTCTGCAAAGGCAGGAAAAAAAAAAAGCAGGCCCTAACCTCCTCCCTGGCAGCCTTCTGCTCTCGCACACTCTGGCTTCAGGAATCCCAGAACCCCAGATTAATCTGTGGTCCTCAAAAGCTTTCTGGCTGAAAGCAAATAGCTAGCTGCATCCTGAAGACCCGGGAGGAGGGACCTGCACGAGCACATTTCTGTGCACACGAGGCATATTCCTCCCCAGGCTCTGGAGACTGTGTCTACCCAGCCAGTCCTGCCTGGCTGCCCTGTGTAGCAAATGGGAGAAGTTCAAGAACAGAGTCAGGGCAGGCACGGCAGCATACACTTTTGAGAACAGCACTCAGGAGACTGTGAGTTCAAGGCTAGCCAAGACTACATCGTGAGACTGTCTCAAAATAAAGGCAGGCGTGTGTGTGTGTGTGTGTGTGTGTGTGTGTGTGTGTGAGAGAGAGAGAGAGAGAGAGAGAGAGAGAGAGAGAGAGAGAGAGACAGAGAGAGTAGTCTAGAAGTGGCTCTGCCTGCCTCCCTTAGGAACCTGTTATGACCTGTTGGAGTCAGTGGTACCCCCAATTCTCAGTCTTCTTACCAGTTCCCAAGTCTGCTTGAATGCTCTTGGGGATGGAGAACTCCCTTCCTCAGAAGGCAGCCAGGCTGCACCGAGTAACCTGTGACCCAGTGCCTTTTGTCACTAATTCTCTTTCTGTGTTTACTTCAGATACATTTAAAGAATGGGAAAACAATTCAAACAAACAAACAAAATCCAGGGCTAGCCAGATAGTTCCGTGGTTAAGACCAATGGATCCAGGCTCCATTCCTAGTACATGGCAGCTCTAGTTCTAGGGGAATCTATTGCTCTCTTCTGGCTTCTGAAAGCACCTGACACGTAAGCGTTGCAGGTAAAACACTCATACACCTAAAATCAAATTTAAATTAAAAAACCGCAGGCAGAGCGTAGACCAGGCTGACCTCCAACTCACAGAGATCCACCTGCCTCTCCCTCCCCAGGACTGGGATTAAAGGTGTGCGCCCACACTGCCCAGGTATGAAGTCATCTTACCAAGTCTCACAGATATTTGAAATAGGTTCTGCTTAATACATTCTTGCAGAGCTCATGTCATGGGCGAAGAATGGAAGGAAAGTAAACATGATTTCCCGGTTGAATCCCTGGGCTGGGATCCCCTGGGAATACAGCAAGCTGGAGTTCCTGGTGCAGAGAAGGGACAGCGACATGGAAAGCCATGGCAGGAAGCCACTGCTTCACCCAGTTCTGTGTGTGTCAGGCCCTTGCGAGGACTTTGTGACGATCACCATCACCAGCTGTTTTACAGAGAAGGAAATGAAGGCTCAGGGCAGGCCGGTCACAGGCCCACAGTGGCCCAGCCTTGGGGATAGGAGTAGGGTTTGAATCCGTTGTATCCCTGGCTTTGCAACTCTGTACCCCAGAAGCTGGGACCAGTAGGTCCTCCTCAAAGAACATACAGGCACTGCCAAAAGTTTCTGTTGCAGCTAAAAGAAACTCTTTGCAATTTATTGTGTTGTTTATGTGGTATGAGGGAATGGAACCCAGAACTTTACACATGCTGGTTAGGTAATTATTCTATCAATGAGCTATGTGCAGGCCAGGAAGTTGTGAAATAGTGACTGATGGGCAATTCTGCATCCCTCAAGGGCTGAAACCTCATGAGAAGAGGCGAAACCCACATCCTAAAGCCACAGGCAACAGAGCCCTTGAGAGGAGGCAGGGCTAAGTCAGGGTGATGTCTGTAAGTAAGTGGCACCGAGGACAGCCTGGCAGGTAACTAGGAGTGGTGACAGATGCTGGGGAGGAGGAGGTACTAGATGTCCAGCAGGGAGCAGGGGCAGGCATTCTGGTGCTTTGCTCTGGCTGTGTAGCCCATGCCTACTGAGTCATGTGCTGACATCACTGGGAAGTAGGCATGGTTGCTGAAAGGGTAGATACTTGACATCTGTGGCTTCTTGAGATTTGAGGGGGGATGGATAGAGAGGTTCAGCTATCAGCCTCTTTGTTGGGGAAGAACCTGGGTTGGGCTATTTAATTATTTTAGAGGCAAGCTCTATGTTATCCAGGCTGGCTCTGAATTTTGCCTCTGCACGTCAAGTAGCTGGCACTGTAACCTGTGCCCCTGCACCCATGTGGGTCCCAATACTCCTACGATTGGGGTTGTCATCTTGACACCCTCTAGAAGAGCTGATCTCAATCCACGGGTTGTGATGCCTTTGGGAATCGGCCAGGGATTGCCTAAAACCATTGGAAAACACTGATACTTGTGTTACAACTCATAACAGCAACAAAGTTACAGTTGTCGAGTAGCAAGGACAGTATTTCATGGTGGGGGGTTACCACCACACCAGGAGCTGTATTACAGAGTCAAGGCACTAGGAAGGTTGGGAATCAGTGCTCCCGAGTCACTGGTGAGAAATGCCTCCAGGCACACCTGTGATTAGATTACTCGAAGTGTGAGGACCCAGGCCAAGAGTGAGCTTGGGTCCAGGACCGTGTAAAAAAGGAGGCAGCCAGCTGAGCAAGAGCCCTCATCACCCTCTGCCTCGTGACTGTGGATGGATGAGATGCATCCGCCTGCTTCAGGCTTCTGCTGTGTTGAACTGGTCCTTGAACTACGAGCTGAAACAAATCCTTTCTTCATTGATTTTCCTGTGTGAGGGTACTTTAGACAAGTTTATTATTA